CGGCGCCAGCCCCGCGGCTCTCGCCGTGCCCCGAAGGGTGGGCTAAACGCGCGGGTCTCCCCCCGCACGGATCAAGCAGGTAAATTTAATTACGGATTTCCCCAAATGCACACACGGCAATCTCGGCCAGTGTCGGGCGCGGACCGACTCCCGGCGTTTCCCCGCGATAAAGCCGGGCGCAGCCGGGCCCCGCTCCCCGCGGCGCGGCAGCAGCCGGGTAACCCGGGACTGCGCTCGGCCCCGCGGCGGCAGCCTCCGCGGAATCGCTGTCTGCCTTCCCAGCCTCCGCGGAGACGCCGTTTGCTTTCCCAGCCTCCGTCTCCTGGCGGCTTCGGAGAAGGCGATGCATGCTCCCGCAGCGGGGGTCTGGAGAGAGGAGCTGCATGTCTCGGCCACCGCCGCTCCTCTCCCAGGGCAGCAGTGACTGTTCCTACAGCAGGGACTGTTCCTACAGCAGGGACTGTTCCTACAGCAGCTCCTGTGCAAAGCCACAGCCTTCCCAGGAGCCCCCGTTTCCAGCTTCAGCTCGGGAGGGTGAGGATGCACACGATTCCGTCCTGCTGCGATCCCTGGCAGCCTGCAGAGCAGATGTATCTGTCCTCTCTTGCACACCTCCACCTTAGGAAGCCCACGGGCCTTTAGCTCTGCTGGTCCAGAAGGTCCCTTTGAAACTGGCATAGAGAAAGGACAAGTCAAGGCCGCTGGAGCAGGTGCAGGCTTAAAATCGCTACAGGAAGATTTGTAGAGAAAATGATTCAAACATAGCGATGGCTGGAGAAAAAAAACAACCGCTGCAATTCTTAGTTCTGGATGTTCTAGTAAAACAGAAACTTGTGACAGTAAATTCCTTGCTCAGAAAAGGTTTGACAGATTCCTTGCAATTAAAAATAATCAACAAAGTCTAAAACAGGAAAGAAATTACCATGTACCAGGAACCCTTGTTTTTCTTTCACATGATGCACCTGTGAACCTCTGTTTCACCAGCAAAAGCAAGGCCAGCGGAGTCAGTTGGCTTTTGCACTCTAGTATTCTCAGGATAATGGATTCTGTAATTACAGCAGGGAAACATATTAATTTACAGACTACAGAATATACTTTTCACCTTTCACTATCAACAGAAAAAAAAAATCAATCCTAAATTCTTTTTATATACAGTCAGTATTTTCTATAAGTATACATGCTGGCTTCAAGGCAGCAGCCGCCTCTCGGGGTGCTTCAGTGGTCCACAGGGAGCTGTAGCACCGTCTAAACAACCAAAACGCTAGTAAGAAGAACTCTGAACAAAGTCACAATCCAGAGGAAAAGCCTCAGGTCTGTGGCAGGAGTGAGTTTTGGATACTTCAGAGTGGAGAGTAACGTGTCCCCGACTGCACCGGGCTCTCCAAATTCTGCTTGTTCTGTTCAAGTGAACCCGTTCCCAGAAAAGAGACAAACCCAGAGCTGGACTTTTTGCCTGCTGGGAAAAATATTGTTGGGAATAGCAGCTGGTGAGCAGTTTATACCCGGAGTTTTCGAAGGGCCTTATCCGACTCTGAAGTCAGCAGAAACAGGGATAGGCCATGGACATTTAAAATAAAAGGTCAGTGCTGCATGAAACAGCAGAAGTGTATAACTAAGTTTGTCATTTAATAATGATACCTACGCCTCTGTAGTCTTAAAATGCTCTCACATTTTATAATCATTCTGAAATTAAGGCCTAACCACATATTAAAAGAAATTCAAAGTAAATCAGAAAGTTTAGGATCAGATTCCATTCCTAATTACTGTAATTAACAAACAAGTCCCCACAATTTAAGGACTGGTTTGCTCAGTATTTTTTTTTTACATAGACCCCTTTTATCTAAGTTAAGAACTTCTAAATAATCTCTTTTTACACAAAAACATAAATTCCTGTTCAAATTGTTTTAATATGGTCTAAATTGAGGTTCCCAGACTTAGACAAATAAGACAATTCTTCGTCTTTTTATTGTCCCTCCTTCTTTAAAGGCAAGTAAAATGTGTAGAAGCTGATCGGCCCTCAGACAGGCACAAATGCATATTTCCACATTCATATCAACAGTGACTGATACCAAATATTTGAAATCTAATGTCAAGAGAAAACTTTCGTTCTCATTGCTTCAGTTACATGTGTCAGGGAGTTAATTTAACTAAAAGAGGAAGGATGTCTACGGATCCCTGAAGCAGCATGGCTGTCAACTCTTGAGGGTGCTATTCTTCCATCTCAAAGCAGATCTTGCCGTCTAGAAGCTAGGGGAGGACGGGAGAAGTGCTCCACAATTCAAAACAGCACCAAAAGTCATTTATACAAAGTCAGCTGTGCTGGTCTCTGCTAGTAGGGAAGGAAACTGAACAGAAAAAGATAATCGTGGAGGAATGTAAATATCTGCCTTATGTAAGCGAATTTTGTGACTGTTAAGAGTTTTTAATTGCACTGGAACACTGAAGTCTCTTCATTTCACCTGAACTCGGCTCCTGCGCTGTTCTCAGGCCTCTGACTCCCATGGGCTGCAAATGGGTTACCCGGCTACAGGATCCCATCTGGCTTTAAAGGCTCTTAAAACGCTCTGCTTCCTGATCCAACAGCTCGGAAGGATGTACAGAACACAGCATGTGGCAGCCCCATTAAGAATCAGAGTGCTATTACACATTTATTTTACTATCTTGTTAAACTAGAATGTTTCATTGCTACTGACAATGCTCCAGAATGTCCTGTCTGCACGCAAAACTTCTTGGGGTAAATGCCAGCACGGCCCAACCTCTCCTCTCTCCCACCTGGGGGGGGGGGGGGGGG